TTGCCCCCCCCCCCACCCCTGCCCCCCTGCGAGCCAGGCTTGTTGTCAGCTGCTGCTGGGGCACAGCGCAGTCTGTGGTGCCAAGAGAGGCAGGTAGCCTGCCTTAGCACCTCCCACCCCCCAGTATCCTCATCACCCTGCAGCAATGAGACCTAGTGCCTGACATTCCAGGACCCAATCCTGGGTCACGACCTGTAGTTTAAAAACCACTGCTCTATGCACTTGGTAGACCAAAATTCAGCTACTGTAGTGCAACCCCACTAACTTCACAGGAGCTGCATTAATGTAACTGAAAGCAAAATTTGGTCCTACTGTTCTGTAACATGGAGTGAAACCCAGCAGTGAAGGCTGATCTTATTACTGACTCCAAGCATGTGGGCTGGGGTAAGGTTACAATGCTCCAATCACATGACTCGGTTCAGTGTCCTCCAAAGGAGGAGGTGGTGTCTGTTACATCTTTGTTTGCTTGGTTTCTCTTTTAAATCAAAGCAAACAGACATGATTATGAAATGCTTTAGCCCACCTAAACACTGAGCTAATAACCACAGATATGTTTTACCCTGATTTTAAATATATAGGCATTTTCTTTTTATAACATAAGAGTTTAGGTTCTGATTATATTCTGCCAAATTAAAAATGTGAATAAGGAGGTGCTTCTGTAATATTAGTGGGTCACTGTCTAGGCTGCCTCATTGAGATATTGTTAGCGTGTCCATCATAGCCTCTGTCTGCAGGAACTGGAGGTTTTTAGGAAGGTTTCTGATTGTAAAACATAGGCACACATTTACTCTATAGTCTGAAACAAAGTATTCAGTGTTTTACTTCCAAATCATTTTATATTTTATGCAATGTGTGTGAAATGTGTAGGGGTGCATCTATACTGCACCCTTACCTCAAAATAAGCTAGGCAATCTGTACTACACAAATTGCCTATCTTATTTTGAGTTAATTTTAAAATAGCTTATTTCATAATTAATTTTGAAATAAACCGCTATTCTGAAATGTCCCTTAATCCTCATGGAATGAGGTATAGTGGGACGTCAGAATAGCAAGCCCGTTATATTTTGAAATAATGGGCTTGCTTAAAAAAATGCAGAATAGCTATTCCAGGATACTGCAACTATCCCAAAATAGCACCACTGTCCTACCCTAGGTAAACTGGCTTAATACATGTGATCATGTCTCCCTCTACTGGTTGGCTATAGCAATTACAACATTCTGCTGCTTCACAGCTTCAGGATTCAGCAATTCCGGAAGAACTGATTTGTGATTTTTGTTGCTAATCATCCATGGTTCAGTCCCTGTTAGTGATCATGAGATGAATAAATACCATCCTATTGCAGTACAGGCAGTCCCCGAGTTACGCGGATCCGACTTATGTCGGATCAGCAGTTACGAACGGGGCCCTTCCTCTCCCTGGTCTCCAGCAGACCAGGGAGAGGAAGCAAAGCAGCGGAACACGCGGGCAGCGGACAGGGCTGTCCGCTGCCCACGCGCTCCGTGGCTTGGCTCTGCTTTGCCCCCCCGTCCCCCTGGTCTGCAGACCACGGGGACGGGGAGCAAAGCAGAGCAAAGCCGTGGAGCACGCTGCCCGCGTGTTCCTCCGCTTTGCTCCCCGTCCCCCTGGTCTAAAGACCAGGGAGACGGGGAGCAAAGCAGAGCAAAGCCGCGGAGCCCGAGGGCAGCAGGACAGCCACGGCGCGTCTGGGCTGTCCCGCTGCCCCCG